CATAGTATCGGCCATTGCGCTCACTTGGGGAGTGAATCATCGGACGGAAGATCTTCCTCTCTGTCTCTCCTCTCTGTATATCCGCCTTTCCAATAAACAAAATAATAAAAATAAATCTTTAAAAAAAAAAACAAAGGCAGTTTGGCCTGCAAGCTCACAGTTTCTTAGTAGCAATGAGCCAAATGGTTGGGATTTTGATACTGAGGTTTTTTAAAACTTCTCCTAATTTCAGATTTCATGCACATGGATGGGTCCATAAGCCAGCCCTACTCAGTCTACCTCCTGACCTAGCAGAAACAATGGCCTTTTCTGACTGGCCTTCAACCCGTTCTGGTTATTATTGTTGGGTGTTACAGCCCAGTCCAGCCTGGTCCACACACAGACACAGATCACACCTGGCTCATCAGAGGCTAAAACCTAGCCTATCCCGCCCTACACCTAACCTGGTCCTCACAAGCAGCAGTGGGTGCTGAGGTCTAGCCCAGTCTGGCGCACCCAGCCCCAGTCCACACTTGTGCCAAGGGACACTGCAGCCATGTCCAGACCAGAACATGGGTCCCATTCTAGCCTCTTGCTTACCAGTGGGAACCACAACCCAGCTAGGGCTCCCCTTAGCTCCCCAACTAGTTATGTTCCCAACTATAGATCTTACACGTGGAAGTGGTTGCTCTTGATCCAGCTTGGCCTAGTCTCTCACCTGTCATGATCTTTGCCTTTGGATGCTGTAGCCTGGCCTGACCAAGTCCCACTGCTCACTGGTGCTAGAACCTGGCTCTGCTCTGTCTGCTCCCATCCCAGTCTCTTGTAACCTGGTAGGTGTGGTAACCTAGTTGAGCTTAACATGTGCTCCAGCTTGGTTTCTGCTATTGCCAGTGAGGTAACATTGGCTTGACCCTGCCCGGTTGCCCCCCTCCAAAACTAACCCATACGTTAGCCAACAGTTGAAGTTACCCTGCTCAAGCCTCTCAACACCCAGGCCTTGTGCTCACCAATGGGAGCTGTGACTCCCAATAGGTTCCCCACGTTCCCAGGTTCCCCCACTCAGCCCACTCCCTGATCCCAGAGCTCATATGCTCCAGCAGGTGCTAGGTCCTTGCCCAGCTTAGCCTGCCACTCCATCTTGGCCTTTGTTTGCTGGAGGATGTTGTGGCCCTATCCACCTCACACCCTGGATGCATGTACAGGTGCTGCAGCCTATACCTGCCCAGCCTGTTTCCAGCACCAGCACCCGTGAGTGCCAGTGGGTTTCATGGTCATTCATAGCTCAGCCCATCAACAACCCAACTCTTAAGCTAACCAGCAGGACTTGTATTTCCACAGGGTTGGTGTCATGACCCTTCCTAATATGATCCATCCCCTGTTCCAACACTCAGGTACTAGACACCTAGCTCTGCCAGGCAGCCCCTCAGCCATAGCTTTCATGTCGGCTGATATGTGGCAGTCAGCGATGCTCTATACTAACAGCCCATCTCAGTACTCCCATGCGGGCTGGTTAATCAGTCTAACCCATACAGATCATACAGACTCTCCCCTCCAAACCACCACGTCTCAGTCAGTCTCCACGCCTGCCAGAAAGTTCAATGACCTGTCGCTGGGAGTCACGCAGGATTCATTCCTCACCTACACGCACACTGGCCTTATCCATGGATGTCTCTAGGCAGCAATTACATACCCCCAAAACTCTAGAGCTTGCCTTCGGGTGGTCAGCAGGCAGAGTCTGGCACCACTTGGCACACTGGCAGCCCATAAGCCCAGGACTCGCTTATCACATGGCAGAATGACCATGGCCTTAGCAAGCATTGGGTCCAACCTGGCTCAGGTACCCTCCGCAACTGCCATGCTGCTGAGGGCTCTTTTCCTTTGAGCCCTGAGGCCAAACACCCACTCTCTAGGTTCCTCCTGCCACAAGGTGGTGGCAGGGCAGGCTGTTGCAGCCATTTGTTAAATATTAGAGTTACCCTATGAAGTTGTGTTTGATTGTTCCACTTACAGATTTTAAAAATTAACAGACAATAAAATTATACATTATACAATGTTATTAACTAATTATCATGTTATAAAATAGATCTCTTGAATTATCACCTTTTTTTTAGATTTATTTTAATTTTTTATTGGAAAGTCAGATCTATAGAGAGAAGGACACGGACAGAAAGAGCTTCTGTCCACTGGTTCACTCCCGAGTGGCCACAATAGTGAGAGCTGAACTGGTCCAACGCCAGAGCCAGGAGCCTCTTCCAGGTCTCCCACATGAGTGCAGGGTCCCAAGGCTTTGGGCTGTGCTCAAATGCTTTCCTGGGCCATGAGCAGGGAGCTGGATGGGAAGTGGAGCTTATGGTATTAGAGCTGGTACCTGTATGGGTCCCAGCAGTTACAAGACAAGGATTTAGCCACTAGGCTATTGCACCGAGATCTTGAATTATTCTTATTTGAAAATATATATTCTTTAATCAACATCTCCGTTGTTTTCTCCGCACTGCATTTAGTCCCTACTCAGCACCATTATATAACCTTCTGGCTTTATGAGATTATGCATGTGAGATCCTGTGGTTTTTGTCTTATAATTCTTGACTTATTTTAGTTAATATAATGTCCTCTACATTCATCTAGATATTATTGCAGATGATAGATTTAAGGCTGAATAATATTTCATTGTATGTGAAAATCTAAAAAATCTAAAAATCTGTTCATTCATTCAGGGACACTTGGATTGAATCCATGTTTTGGCTAATGCTGCAGTGAGCATATTGCTTTGGCATATTGTTGCATTTTTTTGGATATATCTACCCAATGGGGGATTATAAATCATAAGATCCTTCTATGTTTAGTTTCCTGAGGAACTTCCATACTGTTTTTTACAATGGCTATACTAATTTATGGTTTTACCAGCAGTGTTCCAAGGCTCCCTTTTCTCTACATCTATGCCAATGTTAGGTCCAAAAGACCCCCCAAATCACAGACAGATAAGTTCTACACATAACGATGCAAAAGCAAAGAAACTTTATTGCTAGCTGAAGCTGGGGTCCAAGTCTCAACCAATGCAGTGGAGTCTTGACAAAGACCCTGCCTGTCTCTTACAGACCATTTTTATCCCCTCTTAGTCACATACAACACATCTCCAGCAAGCAGTAATTAGCTTAGTCGTGTCACTCGCGATCGTGCGGATGCCCATGATTGGCCCAATTCCCAAAGCTGTTCCCCACTGCTCACTCCATCACTCTGAGGAAAATGAGATGTTGGAGTGAAGTGAAACTTAGGTCTAGTCTCTGACCTTGGGTCTATCATGGCATCGGCAGCAAAGCCAAGCAATGATTACAGAAGCCAAATATAGCGGTTATGGTAACAGTTGAAAGCCTGCCTTGTCACTGCTCAGCACTCTTGTACTCCTACTGCTATTATATGCTCAACTAGTCTCACCTCTAGACACTAATTTACTATTTATCCTTGACAACGTTTTAACACTGCTGTTGTTAAGAGTAAACCCCCGCCAGCCTTGTACCTCCAACTACACAGCAACACTTACTATCTTTTCTCCTTTTGATAATAGCCACACTAACAAGTATGGGGTGATATCTTTTGGTGTTAATTTGAATCTACCTGAGAATTAGTAAGGGTTTTTTTTTTTCTCCTTAAGTTTAAGATAATTTTTACATACTTCTGATTAAAATTTTTCATTTGTTTGAAAATGGATTGTTCTTCTTCTTATCCAACTTAGATGAAGAATAAAATTTTACTAAAACAAGTTTGAGATCCTTGTAATGCATATCATAGTAGTTGTAGTTTAACTAGTATTATGTAATCATCTGCTTCTGCACAGGTTTTTGTTTGTGTTTTTGGAGACCTCAAGCCTTTAAGAGCTACTCTTAAATACCCATTTAAAAATTTACTATTCCTTTACCCATTGTTTGGAGCTTGAAGCTTTCATCTCAATTTTAGTCTTTCTCAGAACTTATCTTATTCTGATTATGTTTAGAGAAAAGGCTATTCTTGGTCCATTCCTAAAATTCTGCTGCCTGATTCTTTGCTGTTGTTTCAGATGTAATTATTGCCTTAGTCTTATCTATGAATTCTGTGAGAGTAGTACTTGTTCCATTTTTCCCTTTAAACCTCTACCCATAAAAACGTGATGTGGATTACAAATTTTGGCAGAAGACAAGAGAATATTACAGCATAGCAGAGACCAGGCTAAAATGTGAAATTAACTTAGACATCACAGAGAACAGGAACACCTTCAAGATTAGTTTTAGCTATTCTACCCCAAATTCCCTCTGTCACCTGCACTTGCTGATGTTTTCTTGCAGTTTGGTCATTCTTGGGAAGGAGGCAACACTGTGTAGTCATTGGGAATTAAAGTCCTAGAATGTCCTGGCTGGGTTCAGATCTTTGCTAGGTGATTTACCCTCCATGTAATCTTAAGTGTGATGTGCTTCAGTTTCTTCATCTGTAAAATGAAGGCAGTAGTACCTACATAATAGCCTTGCTGTGAGGCTTAAACATTGCGTATAAACTGCTTAAAACATTGCTCAGTGAGTGCTTGTGGTACTTTGCTTCAAGATATTATTCTTTGAGAGTACTGAAGTCCCTAGAAGTTCTAGCTTCTTCATGTACCAGGACGGATTAGGTTTTTAAAAATTTCCATACATCCATCAAGAAACTTTTCTGAATATGAAGACTGAATTTCAAGATGAAAAAGCAACTGTAGAATTTAATGCTTTGCTGTAAATTTAACCGTAAAGCAACTGTAGAATGTTTTGCTGTAAATTTAATTGTAGAATTTAATGTTTTGTTGTAAATGGATTTTCCCCCTTCTTTTTTTTGTGAGACTAGAGGCCCTCACCTACAGAAGTAAACTTGTTAGGAGAAACTTTTTTTTAAACTGACAAATCAGAGCTTGTCTTCCTCTAAGAATTAAATTTGCATTGCTTTCCTTTAAAAATGTGATAATCTGGATAAAATGAAAGGCTTAAATTGCTTTATTTATTTGTTTGTTTGTTTAAATTTAGGTTTCTCCCTGGTCTGTGACAGCCAGAGGAAACAGAGTCCTCCCTCATTCCCAGGGAATGACCAAGAAGCCTCGCAGCTGGAGCAGGAGTATGTGCACCGAGTATATGAGGAAATTGCCGGTCACTTCAGCAGCACCAGACATACCCCTTGGCCACACATCGTGCAGTTTTTGAAGTCTTTGCCAAATGGTTCAATAGTGGCTGATATTGGATGTGGAAATGGAAAATACCTTGGCATCAATCAGGAATTATATATGGCAAGTAACGTTGTTCCGACGTTAGTTTTACTTTATTTGCAGTGGTTATTATTTTTCTTTCTCATGATACTTTGTTTTTTGTTTGTTTGTTTTTAGTCATTGCAGAAATGTTACAACAAATACACTAAAAATTAGTGAAATCCCCTCATTCTTTAATTCCCTGAAAATTTATAGTATGTCATTGGTTGTCATTTTTTTTCTCCATTTTGTTATTGACTTCTAATAAGATTACTTTAACAGTAAAATTACCATACAGTTATAAAGCTCTTAATAGATCAGTAGGGATAAATAATAAAGGTTTTATTATTTTTTTTTTCAAATATGGTTCCATAGACTCAGGGATTCTCCCTTCCACCAATCTATCCTTTTGTCAAGACAGATTTAACAGTTTCTTTGGGAGTCCTCTTTTTATTCAGAGTAGAGATGCATACGGCAATATATCTATTCACTGTACGCTAGTCTCCATTATACAGTTCATCTTATGAGAATAAATGTATATACATGTCTACCTGTATCTTGCATTTTGCATGGAGATTGCCTTATGTTAGAGAAAAACATACAATATTTGTTCTTTTGGGATTCGCTTATTTCAGTGAGCATAATGATTTCTAGGTGAGACCATTTGTTGCAAGTGGTATAATTTCATTCTTTTTAGTGGCTGAGTAGTATTCCATGGAGTAGGTCTATCACAGTTTCTTTATCCATTTCTCTTTCAAGCAGCATCTGGGTTGTTTCCATGTCTTTGCTATTGTAGATTGTGCTGTTATGCAGAGAGAGTTGCACGTTACATTTTTCATATGCAGATTTCCCTTCCTTTGGCTATATTCCCAGAAGTGGGATTGTTGGGTCGTAGAGGAGATACATTTCCAGTCGTCTTAGCATTCTCTGTACTGACTTCCATAGTGGCTGCACTAGCCTACATTCCTACCAACAGCGGAATAATTTACCTTTCTCCGCACATCAACACCAGCAGCTGCTATTAGATTTCCAAATGTAGACCAGTTCACTGGAGTGAGGTACAATCTCAAAGTAGATTTTATTTGTATTTCCCTAGTAGCAAGAGACCTGAGCATTTTTTCATATACTGTTAGTCATTTAAATTTGTTCTTTTGAAAAATGCCTGTTAATTTCCCTCACCCATTTCTTCACAGGGTTGTTTGTTTTGCTGTCGTTGAGTTTGTGAAGCTCTTTGTAAATCCTGGATAATGATTCCCTATCTTAAAGCCATTTTCACTGCCTGAATCGTCTGAAGTACAAGAACAGTAAAACAGGCTTTTTCATTATGGTTTTCTTTTTATGAAGGAAGAAGCTAAGACCCACAGAGGTCATGTTCATTTTACCTCCCTGATGTATTACTTAGGGATGATCACTGAGATTTGAACCTTTGCCTCTGACTCAATACCCGTTGTTCTTTTCCTCATAGTAGGAACAGTGAGTGCTGTTTATTTTTATCTCACTGTTGAGGAAACTAAGACTCTGAGAATAAAGGTTATATAACCTTGATACAGACACTAGACCAGGATTTGAATCCTGTCTTGTTCCATAGTGTCTGTTTTCAACTGTTATCATTTCTCTTTTTTTCTTATTTATTTATTTATGTATTTATTTATTTATTTAAATGATCTTACTTAGTTGATTAGGGTACAAAGGGTCAAGGAAAATGGGTAATACCATTGTTTCCACACTAACATAATTTTTTCCCCTGTATCAGGGGTTTGAGGAGAAACAAAGGGAAAAGCCCCACCAGCCTCCCACCCATCCCAGGTCCCCAATGTGGGGCATGCTCTGAGGGTCCTGCTCAAGCAGTTTCGATAGTTCAGCAGTTCTGAATTGCTGCCAATCTCGCCATTCCAAGTATATTGAAACCTATTCAGAATCCACTGGCTGACATAGTCTCTTCATAGTTGGGGTTCTGAGATCAGCAGTTTAGTTGGAGGGATCTCCAAAGAAACTTCATCTGAGATGATCCCACACCTGATTCTTGTGTGAGTTTGCCAGTACAGGGTCCAGCACAGTCTGTCACCCCAATCAGCTTGTGCACATGCTGGTCGTTGCAATTGCTGGGTCATTTCTGTTTCCAGTCCTGTCTTCTACTTGAACCAATGGGTGTTGTAGTCCAGCTTGATCTTACCCACTTATCACTCGGCCCACACCTAAATCAGTGGGAGCTGCAGCCTAGTTGGGGCGACTCCCCATAACCCCCACCAGGCCTGCTTCCTACCCTGGTTCCTATGCATGCCAGCATGTACCGCAGACTTGTTCAGTCTGTCCGACATCCCATTTAGCTCTCATATATATATCAATGGGCATTGAAGCCTAGTTCAACCCAACCAACCCTACTATCCAGCCCACACACATACTGGCAGGTCCCTTTCTGTCTAGCCACCCCTGCCCCGTCCTGGTTTTCATGCTCTCTAATGGGAGTGGCTACCCATGAGGGAGGTGCCCACTATCTCCCTACTAGGCCACTTCAACTTCTGGATAATGCACTCTTCAGGTGGTTCTGCAGTTTTGCTTGACAGAATTAGCCCCCCATGCCAGCATCTGCCAGATGATGCTGTGGCAGAACCCAATCAACCCACACCCACTCTGAGCTATGCTTACACCAGTACTAACAATCAACCCACACTGGCCCTTTCCCACTCTGTCTCACATGAGACCCTCAGGTGTTGTAGTTCTGCCTGGTCTGGTCTGCCCCAATTCCAACTCATGCTCTCCAGTGGGAGTGGTTCTCCTGCAGGGGAGCCCACATTCCCCTGCTGTCTTTGCCTCCCTGGTTCTCACGTGTGCTGTTTGGGTGCTGCGATCACATCTGGTACGGCTCACCTCACCTTGGCATTCTGTAATGTCACTGGTATGTATTGCAACCAAAACTGGCCCGACCCACACTATGCTGGCGCCCGGATTCACCAGCGCTTGATGTGAACGGATTCAGCCTGGTCTGCCCCCCACCTCTGCCATATTTATGCCAGTGGGTATCTTTCTCTGGCCTGGTCTGGGTTGCTCCCTCTTGTGGTTCTTGCACTCACCTGTAGGGGCTGTGTTCCGACAAAGGAGTTTCCTAAGCTCCTCTTCCAAAACCTCTCCCTGTGCCAGGTCTTGCATGGAATGGTGGTGCCATGGGCCAACCTTGCTGGCCTTCAATCCATTCCAGTTCTTACTGTTGGATGTTTCACCCCAGCCAAGGCTTGTCCATACCCAGACACTGCTCACACATGGCTCGCTAGGGGCATAGACCCTGCCTAGTCTGTCCTACATCTACCCAGGTTCTCCAGAGCACCAGATGGTAAAGGCGTCAAGCCCAGCTTGATGCGCCCAGCCCCAGTCCACATTTGTTCCTAGGGAGATTGCAGCCATATTCAGACCAGAACGCAGCCCCCACTCCAGCCCCCGCACCATCCCATGGGAACCCATGGGAATCCCAACCCAGCAACGGTGTATTCTCGCAGCTCCGCAACTGAGTCTATTCCCAGCCCTAGATTGCGCACATGCCAGTGGTTGCTCTGACCCAGTTGGCTTAGCCCCTCACCTGTCTCAGCCTTTGCCTTTGATACTGTGGCCTAGTATCTCTCCTCATGCAGACCAGCTTGTGTAAGAGCCTAGGTCAGAATGACATGTGTTCCATCCTGATTCCTTTTCTTTTTGTAAGTTGAGGTTTGCTTGGCTCTGCCTGGTCCGTCCCCTTCCAGTTGCAGCTCGGTCCAACCCACATCCTATTTTAGGATGCAGCTTTGGGTGGTGCTGCCTTGACCTGCCCAGATTGCCATCAGTTCCTTTACCCGTAAGTGATGGCAGGTACCATGGTCACTCCTACCTTAGCCCATCACCACCCCAGCTCCCGAGCTAACTTGTGGGACTTGTATTTCTACAGGGTTGGGCCCACACTTCCCCCACCCCACAGAGTTTACCCCCGGAGCAAGTTCTCTCATGTGCTGGTTAGTGTCTTGACCCCACCAATTATGACCAGTCCACCTTTCTACCACCCAGTCAAGTAATGGTGCCTAGCTGTGCCAGACAAGCCCCATCCATAGCTTTGGTATGGACTGGTGTGTGGCAGTCAGTGATGCTCTATACTAACAACCTATCTCAGGATTCCTAATTTGGCTGGTGAATCAGTCTGGCCCAAATAGATCTTATGGACACTCCCCTCCAAACCTTCAGGTCTTAGTCCCCATGCTTGCCCGAAAGTTACATGAAAGTTACATGCTACTGGGAGTCACCCAGAACTCATCTCTCACCTACACTCAACCTGGCCTTATTCATGGGTGTCCCTAAGCATCAATTTCATATCCTGAACACCCCAGAGCTCGCCGCTGGGCGGCCAGCAGGCAGAGCATGGCACCATTTGGTGCACTGGCCGCCCAAAGCCAAGGACTCAGTCACTGCCTTTCAGCAGTGTCTTTGGCCTGAGTGTCCAGCCTTGGATCTGGCCCAGCAGGGGCACTCTCACAGCCACCACACTGTGGGGAGCTGCATGCCGTCCCCAACCCCAAGACCCCGCCCCTCCAAGATCCTGCTGCAAGGTTTTGGTGGCAGGGTGGAGCTAGGATATTAATCCAGTTCCCAAGGTTCCCTCATGGCATACTCACCCTGAGGGAAGATTCCTGTTGGGCCTGGAGAAAGCCAAGGATTCAGTCACTGCCTTTCGGCAGTGTCTTTGGTCTGAGTGTCCAGCCTTAGATCTGGCCCAGCAGGGACACCCCCCACAGCTGCTACACTATGGGGAGCTGCAAGCTGTCCAACCCCAAGGCCCAGCCATCATTTCTTTTTCAATGAACTACTTTTTTTTCCTTCTGTGTTTGGAGGAAGGAATTCTCAATACTGTAGTACAATGTTGTAAAAACTTAACACTGCTCTATAAAGACCAGTGCTTCCCTTACTCAAGATTTGGGAAAGAAGAGCTGAAACAAAGGAGTAAATAGAGAGAATGAGAACTGTCTATATTCATGGGTTATTGTTGCATATCAGGTTGATTATCTTATAATTATTGCTTTTACCCA